ATGGAAAGCTGCGTTGATTAATCGAAAGGGTAAAGTCCCCTAAGTCTTCCACATCTAATAAGCAGATACTTCAAAAGAAAATAACAAAGCGGAATTACTCGAACAAATTGCAAGATTCCTTGATTAAATTACAAAATTATGTTGCTTTCGAAAAAAATTGATGTATTCTTGAATGCATAGATAAATGAATAAAAATATACTAATTATAAAATTGTAACCAAATTTAATTTTTATTCTAATTTTAACATTTTTGATTAATAACAATTTTTTTCTACATTTGGTTTTCAAACTTTGAGATAGAATCGCGTTGATCTTAATAATATTTTTTTCATTAGAAACGTTTTGAAAAGGAAAGTTTTTTGGATAAATCGGAAGGTGTGATTTAAAAACTCTGGTCCCACGATTCTTGCCGAGGGGTCTGAGGCCGCATTTGAGCGGCGCTACCGGAAGGGATGTCGATGGGATGCATGCGTGAATATATCAGCAATGACCTCTCGCCGTGACCCCCAGTCACGGATTCCTGTATAGCCGTATGTAATAAGCAGCGGAACTTTCATTAACAGCTTGGGCAAAGTTTTGCACGTTCATATACACTTCACTTTTGAAATCTTCATCGTGAAAATTTGTTCCATCCAAGAGAAAAGTTCGTAACGGATTGAAATGGAAAATTCTAGACCAATAAATAGTACAAATAATAAAAATATAATTATACATAGACGTATGCAATTTAAGCTTCAAAATTTTATATATAATAATAAAAATATTTCATATTGAAACTTAAACGAAAGTGCGATCAAAAGCATTTAATTAAATTCTTGCTGAGGAAAGATCGATTCCAAATTGACCGAATAATATGCTACAGGTTTCGGTCTATTAATTAGCAATATCTCATACAAGTCAATATCTCGAAAGTGATGTGTGAACATGCTACTAGAAATTTATACGCCAACTCACTCCGATCTCAAAGTGCATCAGACGATTATTTACCGGCGCATTCGCACGGTGACTGTCAGTGTTGCATGTGTATGTACCTTAGAGATGACCCCACTGCACGACCTGAGTAGTGCCGGACCGTGCATTCGACCGCGCACGTTTTATATATAAGTGGACGCGATCATTAATTAATACCTTCCGGGACCGGGACGAGTCATGAATCAACGCCCGCTGTCTCAACGGCGCGGTAAAAGCGCGCGGCGCCTTTTCGCATCGTGCCGGAATCGCGGACGAAATATCTCGCCGCGGCCGCCGCATCATCATGATGATCATCGCAATGATAAACAATGCGATGCGATTATTAATCACTGGCCGGCCGATCCGGCGCAATTAACCCGCGCGAGTCGATGCACGCGTGTGAAAAAGTTTTATGAGCGCTGCGTACGAAGATCGGCACTAGTTTCTGTGATATAATATGAGAAATCATATGCTTTTATCAGTTTAGTATGATAAGATTTATAGGTTGTATGTAACTGGGTTGTTGCTATGTTCGTTCTAGGCTGCAATATTCTGTATAATTTATAGCGGTAAATGCGATAATAATTAATTTTCAGTTGCTACTTTCCGACTTTCTACATAGCATTTCCAATTAAGCCACCGCAGTTCACTTTCTGTCAAAACAAAATTCATTTAAAACAGGAGAAATAATAGCAAACAGATACAGGTCGATATAAATGAAATATATTGTTAATTATTCATAATAAGAACACGAGTTTGCGTATTAAATATAGCGGTATTAAATACTTAATAATTTTCAAATAAATTTCTAACATTCGTTTAAAAGCTTCATTTTAGAATACTCTGTATACGTGCTCATATTCAAGCGATAAATCGATAATATTACAAGATAATTTTGTCTCCAATAATATTCTGCCGATAATCGATAAGCCATAATATATTGAGGTATGTTAATGATGGAATGTAATCAATAGTAAAATCATTCTTCGATATCTCTTAATTTTTACAAAATTCTACAATTAATTTTTCGATCAAATAGATGCCGCCAATAATAAGTCAATCTTTGCATATTTACACCAAAATGTACAAACATACTGTCATATCTGAAAATCGAGGACGGAAAGTTCGATCGACCGATAAATTATACAGGATACGACGGGGATGACCTCGTCCTCTTCTTTCTTAGCTCGACATTGTCGATTTGCGTACGGCACGTGTTTTATCGCCACCCTTCGTCGTTTATCTCCGGACCAATCCAATACCGTGACCTCGCGCGATAAGTCTGACGATCGTAAAATAGTCCGCATCAACAATGTATGATTTATTTTAATAACATCAATATTTTTATCGATATTTTTTCATCGGTTAAATATAGATATCTGAAAAGCAGCATTGAATAGATATTAAATAAATGTGCACGCGTTCTAAATATAACGCGTATATATTTTTATTAATGCATTATTAATTACTCGTTATACCTGTTTTTATTTATTTATTAGCAGAGAAACGTTTTCTCTCTTCACATGTAACATGTAATATTACATGTTTACATTATTACGCGCAACATCATAAAGTGTCCATAAAAGCATCGCTACTTTTATGAACAATATCAAAGAATATCAATTTGATATTGAATGGTATCGATACTCTATTAAAACTCACAACAAGAATTCCTGTGTGTAGGCTAAAGGAATAATTCGCAACAAAATAATCCCGTGAAATCAATGAAATGAATGCGAGGAAATAAAACGGATATATATTGTAACTTGCCAGATATATTCTGTCATCTCGTTAAAACGTGCGCGAAAGCCGCTTCTATCGGAAATAAAATATTTAATTCGAAAAAATTTCACTATTTGAACTTCCATTTTCTCAAAAATCATATTTTTCGTGATATCTCGGAAACAATCGGCGTGAAAATAGAGAAGTGATATCGTCACGAAAGAGAATTTCCAATTAAATTGAAAAATTTTCCCGTCACAAAAGTGAATACACATACAAAGTATTTAGTAACTAAATAGTACAATATTCGTCATATTGCAATGCTACTGATTATTATTATCATTATCATTCAATTTTAGTACAATTTGTAGTAACATATTGATAAAATTTGCAGTAAATATTATAATGCAATTTGCAATTTCTAGTAACAGTTTGATTTTATCACACTTTTTCTATTACTATTTTTCTTTTACATCTGACACTTGCATTTATTGCCATTTCATTAATACGCTCTCGTAACTTCGTGTTAATGATTCTGGCAGCATTTTTGCCCGGATATAAATTTTCTTATTGTGATAATAAGCGCACGACTCGCGTAAATCGACTTGACCTATCGAATGGAGGAGCGATCGAGTAGGAACTCGAAAGGAACATTAGCGAGGTGCGCTCGAGGCGAGGTCTCGCCGAGATAATCCATTTCTGTTGAAATGGCAAAAGGCATATTACGTCGCGAGCATCACAAAGGCGAATCACAAGCCACCCCGGTCCTAAATGTGCCGTTTCGAGTGTCGAATGTCTGAAGCAAGGTTACACGTCGTTTACGAGATAAATAAATCTCCGAGGAGCATTGCAAATCGCGGATAGAGATTTCATGTTTACAGTGTCGTAAATAATATCAATTTATTACGAGATATGTATGTGACGTCGTCACTACAAATGTCGTAATGCAAATGTAGATGTGGAAGCACGCGAGCATAGGCTCGTGCGTCCCCCTCTATATTTATGTGTGCATTATTACTCTATAAATACTATTATCTGCGATAGAACGACCGGCTATATTTATCGTTACTTTCTCTGCCGAAAGGACGATGACGTTCGAGATTGCAAACCGCGAGCGAGAACGCATTTCCTTTCTGTTTGTGAAATATTAACGCAAAGTTTGGAAAAATGGGAGACGGAGAACGACACGACTTTTATAGATTTATATTTGAAACTCTTTGCCAATAGCGAAGATCGAAGGTTACGAACGTGGAGAACAAAATATAAATACCGTCGATATCGGGATGAAAGGGGATTAAAAACAAATAAAGCACGGAAATTCAGTTCACGCTGCAGAGAGATTCCCGTTTCATAGTAATTCAACTAACGATGCTTTCTAGATGCTCTTTTATGAAAGTTTCGTAGAGATTGTTTTACCGGTAAAACACGATAATGCATTATCCATGATCCCCAATCCTGCTAGTACACGCCGAGGTTTTTTGGGCAAGCCGTCGACTCTATCGCCTATCACGTAGCCAATTACATAGCCCGTTGTAACGTTTATACGCCACGCTGTTGTACGGTGTTTGATTCACGAGCGTGGTAATCGCACGGTGATCGCGATTAATTTAACGATCATGCGCCACGATGATCGGGGAAGACTCCGATATACATGCGGGCGTATGCTCTACTGGAATGACGTGTCGATGTGCACGTGCATGTGTGTGGCTACTGAACTTTGCCATTTGATCTCCCCTCTTCACCCCGTTAAGTTCAGGGTTGCTGAACTCTGCCTTCGGCGTCGGAGATTCAAGAAAGTGAGCATTGGTCAAGTGTCGAACTATGTTTTAATCAATGACTTTATAATGCTAATTACTTTCGTTAACTACTTTATCTAGAAAGTTTCATCATCAGACATTAGAGATTAAAGATTTTGTTAGACGGTTTAATAAAGTGTTACAAGATCCTGTTACAAATTGTAACTTCTTTCAGATCCTCGCGGAAAACCCCAATTATTAATGCGTACATATATAATTGTTCAATAGTTACCAATACACACACACGTACACAATTACGCCATTATGATATTCTCATTATCATATTGCCGCCGTAAATATATTGAAGTCTTAAGACAATTTGCTAATTAATAGCGCAATCACAATACTCTGTCATAATTAGTAATTAATATCTGTTAACCCGATTGAATTTGTTATATTGTATTATATTTCAGTATTATTATTTTATTTGTGAAATTATCTTTTCAAAAAACGAATAAAAATTTCCTCGTCGTAGAAGTCCTGTTTTGTCGAGTCATTAAATTATCAAATTAATTAACTTCAAACACTGACCTTCTTAAGATGTCCCTTATTGGTGCCTACAAAGACGACAGTGTAATCACCGGTCGAAGTTGCCGCAACAGCCGTCAAGTGAGTCTCGAATGTCAAGACTGCAGTTGCGCCCATCGGTTCTTCGCCGCCCAGAGGTGTATTCACGTCGAGACCGCAGAAATCCTCGCCAATTGTTTGCAGCTTCTGTAAATATAAATTTTTCGTATGTAATCACGCTCATTGATTTGATTGTCTTTCATGTCAGACGCAATACTTAACATTCCTCTCTCGAATATGTAAAATAAATTGTGCGAGAAAAAGTATCTTAGGGTTAAAGATTAAAAGCTCATTTTACAATGACTGATTCATCACCTGAGAAAATAGGCCGGAACTGATTTCACTTGCAGATTCTTAACCTCGCGCGCTAAAGTATACAAAATATGACAACATAAATCCATTTTTCCATAACGGATAATTGTAAAATCATTCCATTTTTCTAGATATCCCACATATGTAAAAAATATTGTTAAATCTTGAGTATTCTGCGAATCTTGTTTACATTGTCTCTTTTATTCGGCAAAATTGTTATCTTTTATCAAAATGTCCATTTATTTTATCATATTCCATATGCCAGAGCAAATATAAAAACTGTTAAATCAATATATCAAAAGTTATATACATAGCAACAAAAATTTGAAAATAAAAATATGACAAGATACATACATCCAGCTTTCAAACTGCACCAAAAAATTGATTTTACTAGGAAAAGTTTAGTACTTGAAAGAAAATTATAAGCACCATAATGCTTAATGATTAATATAATACAAAAAATTTGAAGAAAATTAAAAAAAAAGTTCTATTTTGGACGGTGAGTAAAAAATATCTCAATGTTGGTATTTGTAGTGAAATAAAATGGTTGGTATTTTGCTGAGATTAAGAAAACGAAGCTCTCACGCTGGGGCGAATTGCGGAGGAAGGATATAGTAGTAGGAAGTAGCTTGCGCGGTATCGAATCTCAGTGGACACAGAGAATCGCAGAAGTGATTTCGCCGAGTCGTAACGCGCTTCCTTTTTCCGGTGGAAAAGCGGTAGGTAGGTAGGTTAGCGAAGCGCAAAACCGGGGAAAATATCCGCGGCTAAAATATCGCGGCTAGACGGACCGCGATAAATTATTGCAATGTCGACGATTAATTCTTGCCGTACCGACGATTAATCGCGTCCTACGACAGAGATGCGAGATTTTATTGCCCTTTGCCGAACCCTTTCCTTCTCCTCCTCGTGAAACTTGAAACAGGAAACGCGAGAAATGCAGCGCTCGCAAACAAATCCACCATCATATCCTGTGCGGAGAGCGCATTTTAAAACGCATTATCCGGTTGAACTCGACGATTAACACGTTTAAAGGCCGTTCGTGCTAACAACCACTTGTGCCAAGTAGCTAGAGATAACCGCATGTCTATAGTTGAGGTTTCTTCCTTTTTCATGTACATGTAGCTATATATTTATGTCATTTACTTTCTATTAGATACTAGTTGTTCATAACGCTTGTAATTATTATTGCTTTAAATCACACGTTACTTTACTTATTTGCTTTATTACATTGTGGTGGACTTTTCTATTTTCTGTAATCCTTTCATCTCTTCTTTTCTTTTAGCAATCAACCAAAGATTTATAAGCAATTTGTATCGTATTATTTACCACTGAATATTTTATTTGCCAAAATATCTAGCTTTTACTAATATTTCTACCTTGAATGTTTAAAAATTGATTGGTGTAAAAAATTCTTATCTATATAGAAATCTTTTTATCTCTTGCATAAATTAGAGATTTGCGAGATCAACAATTGCAGCGCGAACAGTAGTGGTGTCATGCCAACGGAGTTTGTTCGGTTATATATTTCTTTTTTTTATATCTATATTCCAGATACATCCACGGCACTCTAAGGGTTGCCTTGTGAGGGTCGACAGATAGTATGATTCGTCGGTCGGGCGTGTTATGTGTGTGCATACAAAGGCGTATGTATCCACATCAGTGAACAAACCAGCACGCCCGTTCACGGCGGGAGCACCGCGAGAAGTCGGCTCTATTTACATTCCTGGGTCGGTTTTGCCACCCTGTACACGCATACACGTATTCCATAGCGAACAATTATTTGCATTCCCGGTGCTAATACGCCGTTGACGGCGGGGCGTCGTGGTACATTTTCGCTGCGGCCGTCCTCGCGGCGGCGACAATTACGGAAAATCAGCGACGATGATACGTCCTTGCGCGAAACCGCGCCGGAGGCTGCATATTATATAAGCACAGCAAATCTCATTCAACCATGTAAATGTTTATAAAAATCGCAATGTAAATTGAAATAATTAATTCCTACATAAATGGAGCGTAATAATAATAGTTGTTAAAACATTAAATGTATTGATATATTTGTTAAAATATATATGTCAGTAATTTAAAGAGATCTATGTTCAAAATCGTGCGATTTGAAAGCTCGAGACAAATAACTCTCAATTTTTATCGTATTTGTAATGCTCACGTATATTTTATTTTATACAATAAAAGTTCAGTTGTAAACAGAAGATATCGGATCAGCGAAATCGAAAGAACTCTGACTCGGCCGGTGATGCGCAAGTACGCGTTAATATGAACAAATGTCAAATCAGTAATTTGAGCCTAAAACAAAGTTCTCATGCACGCATGAGCAATTTGCATATCTAACGAGGAACGCAAGCATGTGCCGTTTCTCACTAATTTTAATTCCGACGTAAAAAAAAATGTTAATGCACAACATTAATATTCAACCTTAAATATTCGCGCGAAACTTCGAGTTTGCTGGATTTACCCTTTATATCTCTCATGCAAAAGATGAGACTTAAAAAATTCATAGTATGCAAAATTCCGCCTCGACTTTTAATATTCCAGGCACAAAGCCGCCATGTCAATGCTTTGACACACTTGATATTCATATGTTATCTGGCGAAAAACCAAGTGCGATGAATTATTCCGACGGAATGAAGAGCGCGCGAGATTCCTCCTCTGGCTTGTCTTTCGTCATTTAATTTGCGGGCGGAAGAGGTTAAGCAGCCTAAACGCGCGAGCGAGCCGATCGTCGATTGGCTCGCAAACGAAATAATCGGCGCGTAGCTGCAACAACATGGTCGAATGATTTTAATGACGGCCAAATCGGCGCGTAACTAATATCAAGATCAAAGGATGCGTTGCTCGACGGCCACCTTGCGACGGGGATTTACCCGAATGGCTATACATGTGTACGCAATGCGGTCTATCTGTAGTATATGGATACACCTGGACGACTAATGTCAACAAGACTAATTATCGATCCAAACCGCTTCGATTTGATGTATATCTATATTCGCTAAGCAAAGTCAATATAGTACATACGAGGATAACTTCGGAATGCGAGTTTCGTGTTTCGTTCTTCCATACTGTATTTTATATTTTTTTTTTTTTTTTCTACATTTGAAACGTATTTTCTGCTGACTGATACCGTTGAGCAATAAAAAAGCGCACCCACGGCTGTTATTACAAACGCGCAATCATTCCCAAAAACGTAAACATATTTTGCACGTACACGCCGTTCTGTCACCGGATAAAATGTTTTCCGACGTAAAATTTCGAAACTTTTATGTTTGTTGTAATCTGATAAAAAGGCGTATATTTTTTCCCTTTTTTTTACAAATACGTTCTCTCTGTCGAATCTCGAAAATTGCCTGTCACCGGCTTCTGCAAGTGTCTCCACTGAGTGTAACCAAACAAATTTCTTCAATTTTTTAGCATTTTACACATAATAATTACTCGCATTACTTTAATTAAATCATATAAATGTGAATTCTCAAGTAATCCAAAGTATAATAAAAGGAACAATTGTAAATAGAAATAAATCTTTCCAATTTTAGAAATTCAACAATATTTTAAACAATTCAGCGTACACTGTTCTGCCAAATAAAGTATTATATTTAACTGACATGACAGAAATTTGCAGCGTTCGTCCACATGTAACTAAACGAATCACTGCCCAGAACGGTTTCCGACAAATCTCGCCGTCCCGCGATAAAAGCATCGGTGGGACGCTAATCTCGTCCGGCGGCGAAATCGAACGAGAGCCTCGCAATTTTCGAAAATATGAAAATTTCGACGAGAGCGGGCAATGGATTCGCGACTGCGCGCGCGTGTGCCATATTTCGCCGTTCGGCAATCCGATTAAGGAGGACAATCCGTTCTCCCCCGCTGCAGCAATTTTTCGCGCCGTCGCCGAATTCCCGCCGAAATCTCATTTTCTGAAAAAAAAACGCTCCACCGTCGATTTACCCGTCGTGTCGATCTGCGAGCGGCGACGGACGGTGCGATTTTGAGAGTGTCGAGAGCACGGCACGATCACCGCATTTTCTCTTCTTCGATCCTCCCGCCGACGTGGTCGTCGTCTATTTCACCTTGGTTTGCCTCCGATCGTTCGCCTCTTCTATCTTGGTTTTCCATCAATAATTTCGACTTTCGTGCACTGCACCTCGCCACCACCGTCCGTCCGTCACCAGACGATATTTCTCGGAGAGTACGTGACACGAAGGTCTTTTGGTGATATAAATTGACGCTTTCGTCGATATGTGAGGCAAATGTTTCCTCAACCCGTTATTACTACGTTCATCTTATTTGAATATGAAATTTTAATGATTTCAAATTTGCCGATGGAATAATTAATTTGTTAAAGCAGTCCAATTAAATTCACAGAAATTAAAGCAATATGTTTCTGACAATGCTTTGATATTTCAGAAATAATATTTCAGAAATAATTGCATTATTAAACATTATTATAAAATAAGAAATTATTTTTATAATTGATGATTGACTACAAATAGTAGGAAATAAGACAACAATTAAAATATTTGAAAAGTTCAATTATAAAATACAATTTTTCTATTTTGCCGACAATAAAAGCTGTCTTAATTTCCTTTTAATAATATTTCATTTTTCATAACAGTTCGCGCTGCATAGCTATTTAAACATTCATAACAAACATACATTGTTATAACAACTTTTAACAATTAATAACGATATTATTTTAACAATAATGTAAAAAGTTTTTACGTTGTAGGAATAAATGTTGAAAACGTGATTGACATAACTTGCGCACGCTTAAATGAATAGTTAGACTGCAATCGAGGAAAAAAATGCCTCCTCGCGAGCGT